ACCAGTGGTGAGAGTGGCAATACTGGGAGGATGGAGGGAAGGTGGGGTAGAAAGGGGGAACCGATTACATGGGTCTAAATATAATCCCTGGGAGAAAGACAACAGAAAAGTAGATGAAGGGAGATGTTGGACAGTGTAAGACATGAAATAATAATAATAATAATTTGTAAATTATCAAGGGTTCATGAGGGAGGGGCAAGCAGGGAGGGAGGGGGGAAATGAGCTGATATCAAGGGCTCAAGTAAAAATTTTAAAGTATGTAAGTCTAACATTAAAAAAAAGTCTTGCTTTCCCTTTATAACCTTCATTTCAATACCAGAGTCCTGATTTGGCAGTTTAAATCCATCAGGCACTCCACAGGAAAAAGATGAGGTTGTCTTCTCCTGTAAGAATTTTAAAAGCTTTCAGAAACCTTCTATGGGGTTGCTATTAGTTAGAATGGACCTATTCAAGTGGGATGGGTTTGGGGCCATACCCAAGGTCATAGGTCAATGGGGTCATCAGACTGGAGTTAGGAATGTGAGGAAAGAAAATGCAGTGATTATTAAAGCAATGGTAGGGATTATTGAGAAGAAGAAAAAAACATGATCTTAGGCTCTCATATTGAATGTCCCATATGATAAATTGAAATTCAGAAAGAAGTAATGGACTAGTCTAGGTGTCCTCCTGGCTGCCAAGCCAATGCTTCCACCCAAGTGTTAAGCTTCTGAGAAAAATATTTTGTTAAGTCTCCTGGGTCTGGAACCTTGCCTGGAAATTTGGGTGTAGGTTGTGGGAATCAGACTACTTCTGCCTTAGCAATGGCTCTGCCAGCAGATTATTAACACAGTTATTTACATGTTAAAGGGCTCTAAAGCTTTACTTTTCAATATGGTTCTCACTAGCCACATATGCTATTTAAATTTCAGAGATTAAAATTATATTAATTTATTATTTTTGTCAGATTATTTATGTTTCAAGTACTCAATAGCCACCTGTAGCTGGAGGCTAGCATGAGTGAAGCTGCACTCATTTAAGAAACTTCCCTTAGTTATTACTGATCTAAGATATTCAGAATGATGTCCTCACCATCTAATGAAAGCAATATAATGCACGTGCACACTTTATTTTTCCATTAATTCAGCATGTAGATGAGAAACTTAATGCCGAGTTCCCCAAGATTCTTGCTAGGTTGCCAAGAATTGACAGATATTTAATATTTTAAAGTGTAGGAAGGGAAGACGTCAATGTCTTCTTCTTTATTTCTCTTCCCTGTATGTTATTCTATCAGTGCAATTTTCACATCTGCTTAGGCCCTTTGAGGTTTTTTCCCTTCTGTTTTACTTTCTATAGTTCTATTTTCAATTTAAAATTTTAACTTACAAATATCTGATGTTTTCCTGGGTGATTCAGGTGAGCAGGCACTCACTAGCCAAAATGTTGCTGGTTCAAGATGCAGCACTTTGGCATTCAGGCCTACTGACCTTCAAAAAAGTCAGTCTTGAAAACCCATTGAAGCACTCACGGGGTTGCCAGGTGTGAAAATGGAGCTGATAGCAAGTCACAATGATAACAAATACCTGGTGAAATAAAATTTTAAATATAAAGGTACTTTTTAATTATAAGAAAAAATGAAAATTAAATTTACAGTTGAGTATTAAAAAGATGTATGTACATTTTTTGAAGTCTGCTTTTAGTCATGGGGTAGTTAGAGGTTGAAAATCATTAATAGGTGAATGTCATATGGGTTCTGTGCTCGACTGAGAAGTCTCCAGAAGGAGAGCAACTAACCTCTTCACTGGTGAAATAATTCTTATCAGAAGTTCTCTAGGAGTGTGCCTAATCCCAGTCGGCTGATATTCAGGGTGGCTTATACTAGAGTATATACAGCAAGCCTCATTGTAACCCCCTTATTTACTTATTAATTATACAACAAAGAGGATGAAAAACTGCAGAGGTGGTTCACTATGGCCAATTCTAGATGCAGACTTAGACCCTTCTGCACTTTTCTTTATCACCTTCACCTTAACCTTGAACTTTCTCAGGAATCAAGAATCCAGATGCGTGTGAGGCTGTTTACGCAAACCCAGCTGAGTTTGGTTGCAATTTGGAAATGAAATGAAAATGTACATCCAGTTGGAAAGAGAAAACAAACGCTGATGCCACGACTGCATGTGTTTTTGTTTTCCTTCCTGGAGACGATGAAAACTTTTATTTTAAAATTTCATTTTTAACACGGGGAGGCAGCTTTTTCTTCGAAGTTTCTCTTATGGTACTTTGTTGTCTATAAATTCTTCTTTCACGTGAAAGAATTCAATGATAAATGAATTAATGTAATAAATAAATAGTGTAGAGACAATATTTCAAGAAGAGGGAATGAACATTAGAGTCTCATGATCTATTAAATTGTGGCATGAGTGTGATCAGTTAGGTGAATGGTTGTGTTTATGGGGAGAAACGAAAAGTGATATCGTACTATAGGTCATACGGGTTTATGCCATTTTCTTTGGCAATGACTCTGGGTGTTAGGGTAGAGGTACAGTGTGCAAATGTACGATTGCAAGGTCCTGTCACAGTAAGGCATGTGTTTCAAATGGCACAGCGGGCATGTGAGCGGTACTAAAGCCCAGGTGTCTATCGGGATAATTTTAAATGATTTAGTTCAGCAGCCATGTCAATCACTGATTAAGTGATTCTTATTTGTATTGAATCTTGGCATCAAGTCAAGAAACAGTTTCTTCATCAAGTGCTAAACTGAAAGTTCTAAGAAAGGGCTTCAGGGTAATCTACAAGAAACTATTTTTTTAAATTGTTTATTTTTAACTTATTAGGCCATGTATTATTGAAATCACCGAATAGAGTAGTGTTGCATACTAACTCTTTCTTTATAATTAGATTTCCTCATATAATAAACTTTTGGCCTACATCTCTTCACTCTTCTCTTCCAAAAAAAATTATTGTACAGTTCGTGGAAAAACAACCAATTTTGAAATGAGAGTTCAATAAAATAAAGACATACTGAACAAGCACAAGATCATCTATGTTATATATTTGTTCAAGGCAAAATAAATATCACAAGGAAAAGTACGTACTCCTTCCCCTTGTTGAAGTAATGATACTGAAATTCCTAAAAGGTGGGCTAATACCATACTCTGCCTTTGACCGTGGCAGACGACACTATCTGGCAGCACCGGTCAAGCTGGTGTTGTTGGGGGCTGACAAGTTGGTGCCGAGTCATAGCAACCTGAGTGTGGCAGAAGGAGCCTCCCCCTGGGCCTGGGCCATCCTCACACTTGTCCTCAGGTTTGAATCCATTGTGGCAGCCACGGTGTAGCGTTCTCCCATTGAAGGACTTCCCCATTTCCTCCCTGTCCCTCCACTGGAGCAAGCATGAAGTGTGTCTCCAGAGACTGGTTTCTCCTGATGATATATGTCCCAAGTCTGGGAGAAAAAGCTTCGCCATCCTTGCCTCTAAGGAGTATTCTGGCTATCCGTCTTCCAAGACACATTCATTTGTGGAAGCTACCCACGGCCGCTTCAATATTCTTTGCCAACACCTGGGTTCAAATGCACTGATGGTGCTTTTTTCTTCCTTATTCAGTGTCCAGGTTTGACCACGGTAATGTTTTGTACATCCAAGTGGAATGAATACCCAGTGTCCCTGTGCCATATGGTCACATTTACTTCTCCTCTTTTCCAACATTTTACGCTTTACTTTGTTTGTTTCTTTAAATTCTATAACTGAACTCCAAAGGATCACTTCCGAACCTCACGTCTGAGGGCAGTTTTATCTTGTGTGAGCACCTCTTTTCCTTTTGCCTCTGATGCTTTCTGTGCCCTCTAATTGACAGATTTCTCATCTTCTCCCTGGAGAACCATTCTTGTATAAACTTTGGAAGATATTCTTTTACTTTTATAATTTATAAATTCAGTGCAAATTCAGTGAGGTTGGGAAGCTAGAAACTCAACACCCCCTTCACTTAAACTCCAAGAGGAAGACAATTGTGAAACCTCTTTCCTCATCTAGCAATTGCTGGGATACACAGTCAGGGAGTCCACGGGGCATTACAAAATCACGACATCACTAAGTTTAAAGAGACGTCTTCGGCAAAAGTATTCAGTTGTGGCTGCCGGGCAGTCCTATGGGAAGTCAGGTACACTGTGGGGGTTCTAGAGAACCGGATCAGAACTGCTTGAGAGTGAGACTGCATTTTGCTACATTGTGTCATGTTTATTTGGATACATATTTTATTTCCTATGTTCAATTCATAGTTCCTTCTCTTTTTGGGGGGTGATGCAAACCTGATATTAATGGTTTTATATTTAAAAAAAAAAAGCCACCTAGGAATATAGTGGCTGAAGTATTTGTTGTCTCACTTTATATCTTATTTTCTGTTTAACAGGAGCAAAGTTCATCGGAACTTTTCCCATACCAGATACCTATAATCCAGATGATGACAAAATATATTTCTTCTTTCGTGAATCTTCTCAAGAAGGCAGTACTTCTGATAAAACCATCCTTTCTCGAGTCGGAAGAGTTTGTAAGGCAAGATATATTTACTTACTTTAAGGCAAAAATGTATACATATGAAACAACTAGTCATATAATGTGGAAGGAAAGCTCAATTGTATTATTTACAAAGTGATAGAAGGAATTCATATAATCCCACATGTAGTGATTTTTTAATTCAAAAGTTAAAAAGAAAAACTTAAAATTTTGAATAAAAATTTAAATCTAAAAAATGTAAATTAAGCAATTAAAAGAAAAAAGGTTAAAAAGAAAATGGAAATCAAAATTTTTAAACATACCACATGTTTTCCCATTGCCTGAACTGCTGAATGGCATGAGTCAAACACTTTTGACAGCTCAACGCTCTTATTGGTGGGCTATTACTTTGTAGCTGTTGGTTCTCCCAGTAAGAGCATGACATTGTGCTAGTGTGGGAGCTGAACAGTTTTACATGCAATTAAACTTCAACATTGAAAGCAATGTAGTATAATCACTATGATAGCTTAATGTTAAAATAATTGAGTATTTTTATCAAAGCTTACTTCATACCTTTAAGACCTGTATCTTTGCGTGGATAAAATAAGTAGAAAATACAGTCCTATAATTATTATACATATTTCCTAGACCATTAATCTACATTAGGTCCTAAAGGGGGAAAATGAGCTATTGAGAAACAAATTCATCAACCAAGATCTAAAACATTAAGTTTTAACCAGGTGAGTATTTTATATTAATAATGTTTATGTTATAAGATACAGAGGGACTCTATTAGGTAATTCTTTCCACTTTCTGCAATCAAAATTCTAATTTGAGTGAATACAAACTTTGCAAAATAATAATGCTACTGGAATTCAGTGTTTGATTTAAGTATATTGTTCTGAATTTTCTTCACTGAATTTATCTTTACTGAACTACTTCTCCTAAAATAAACAGGCACCTTTGTAGTAAACTTAAATAATCAGAGGAAGGGCTGGTAATGCTGGTAAAAGCTCTCACTGAGAAGCTTTTTCTGCTCTTTTATAAACTTTTCATTTTCTTCCATCTAAGCCTATTTCTTTTTTGTCTCCATTTGAGCCCTCGGGCTTCTGAGCATTTTCAAGGACAGAATACAAACCATCATTTCACTTAAGAGTGCTAATGAAAACATGGCTTTTGAATGAGGCCAAGTTCTGAGCCCGGATCATCCTTTGCCTTCCTGGCCAATAATGCTGTCTCCCATTGATCCCTTCACCCCCAGGGGACAGAGCCACTAAAAGCATCCTGGCTCTTACAGAGTCCTAAGAATTAACGGTAATTTCTCTTGAACCCTCTGGCCTGAAGATGAATGGCTGTTGATTGGAGCAGTGTTAGTGTACTGAAGCAGGCCTTAGAACAACACTCGCCTGACCCTAAAGAGCCCTTCTCTGGATCGACAAACTTTGTAGTAGTGTGCTGCATTAACTGTGTCATAGGAGATTTATAATCAAGTAAATATGTTTCTTCAAAAGTCACTTTCAGATAAACAAACAGCAAGCTAAGTGTTTCCTTTGTGACCTAGTTCAATACTTCTTGATAGTTCTAATCCATTTTATGCAAGTGAGTCAGAAAAAAGTAATACTCTTAGCCTAGTTTCAATATACTGAAAGTTATCTTAGAAGTAGAGAAATTAAAAAAAAAATTAGTTGCCCCATGTATAAATGTTTTATGTTAAGGTTGTAGTACCAACTATGTACTAGCATCTCATAAGGCATATTATGTTAGCAACACATTCCTTGTCAACCTAAAAAGGCAGTGGTAAATGAGTCTTCTCACCACAAGCTCATACAACCCCCTGAGGCCACACAGCAAGACCTTGTCATGCCATTGTCCTTGGATAAAAAGCAAAACAAACACAAAACTAATACTTTACAAGATCCAATAGAGACATTGGACTTATGGGTTTATGAAAGAAAAATAAAGATAAGATAGAGGTTCTTTTTTATTCATGTACCATCTTACTTGATCACTATCTTTAATATTATCTTCAGCATTTCTCATCATAAATAAGATCTATTGTTTACGTGCTTACAGTATTTGGGCTTTGAATACTTTATCTGAAAATTTTAAATGGCAACAGATCCTGCTTATGTTTATTTTTTTAGGTTCTGCTTAATAAGTTAGGATTAAATCTCGGTAAATCCATGAATACTTCCCAGTGGAAATTTCCAGAGCAACATGAATAATTCCCTGAAATTAAAAAATAATTAAAGACCATATGTCCTACAGAACTATAAGTGATAGTGTCATCATTGTTTCTCTTATATATTATTTTCACATGACAACGCTTCTTTGGAGAATATATTAAAGTTTTATTCTTTTATGGAGTTTTAGCTCCATTGGGTCATTATACTATTACAATTCTATTTTCAACAAAGAATAATAAAATGCATGCTATACTATGAAGCAATATTGTGCTTGAAATAAGCAATCAAAAATAAGCAATGATCTAAGCAGGAAGAGATTTTGTCAAAGAGAGTTAAGAGTAAACTGTGTACACTTTACTGCACTTACAAAGCATTTCAGTAACATAACAGTCTTTGATATGATTTATTCTACCAGAATACTCTAACAGTATCTATTTGAAAATTTTTAAACATTGTAGGTTTTTTTAATTACTGTTTCTGTATTTCTTTTTTTCCCCCTCTCATATCTTTTGACACACATGGAAAAACTTTATAATTTAAGAGTTTCTTACCTTTTCAGCAAAACAAATATTATTTTATGAAGACTGCCAAAGATCTTATAGTGTGGGGCATAAGGCCTGCTGGGTAGGACATTCAGAAAAAAGGCAAAAATTTCACAGAAATAATGAAAAGACTTTTTTAAAGGATATATCTTAATTACTTTTATCCCATTTATTCATGGTTTTATTATTTCAGAATCAACAAAATATAAGGTGACTTCTATACAAGAAGTGCTACAGGAGACACTAGACCGGTGGTTCTCAACCTTCCCAATGCCTCGACCCTTTAATACAGTTCCTCATGTTGTGCTGACCCCCAACCAGAACATTATTTTCGTTCCTACTTCACAACTGTAATTTTGCTACTGTTGTGAATTGGGCGGCCCCTGTGAAAGGGTCATTCGACCCCCATCAGGGTCGCGACCCACAGGTTGAGACCTGCTGCACTAGAAGATAAGACTGTATGCATTATACAGAAAGGGTACCAGACATATAAATAGATTAGCAGATCTATAAACAGATAATCCAAATATATGTGATAGAGGTAGGAGCTGAGAACTCTGAGAATCCAACCACGTTTGAAAAATAGTTGAGCTCTGGATTAGTTAGGGACGGAAAGATCTGGAAAATGATTAGAAAACCTCAGTGCATAGATGACAAAGTGCGAACGAACGACTCTTCCAGGCAGATGGAAAGGCACGTGTGAAGGCAGGCAAAGGCACACAGGGGAGATCCCGCACTCCACCTGCGACCTGTGAGAGAGCACCAGGGAAAGAGGAAGGGTGGCCTTCCCTCTGCCTGCTTTTATCCCCTCCTATCCCCAAGGTCTGGGAGAAGGTGGGGACTTTGACAGGCAGGTGTGATTGAGGGTAGTACCACCATTAGTGGCTAAATTCAGGTGCACCTGTGATATTGACCTTTGAAGGTAAAGGTTGACCTTCACTTGCACATAGGTGCCTTAGTCTGCGCATGCTCAGTTCTGGATTTTCCCATAGGTGTCCCATGTGTCCCTGATTTCTTTCCCATCCCTTTATTGGGGCAGAGCCAGCTAATTTTCGTTTAGGGTAGGCATTCAGTGGAGACTAACCCCTTTATTCCTAATATTGCTTCCTGTCAAATACACACATTTGGTGCCATATCAACCGACTGTTTTTGGTAGTGGAATAGGTTTGTAGTGGTCCAAATGGTAATATTGGGGAGGTTAGTTGTCAAAAACTAGGAAAAGGTGGCATTTGATTCATTTCAAAGGTTGAAATTGTTGTTGTTATTTTGCCCTAAACTTTAGAGAAAGTTTCCTTTGAGAATGGATCTCATTTGGAGCATTACATGGTAAAAAATAGTGTGAAGCATTTAGACAATACAAATTTTGGGCAAGAGGTATGGACAGCAAGGAAGAGTGTTTACTAACGAAACTGACTCAGGGGGCACTTTCACAAGGTCACATCCGTCAGTGACAGCCTTCACCCACAGCATTGCTTTCCCATTCAGCTTGTTTGCTGATACACATTGTAGAACATCTTTCCTAAGGAGTTGTTAGCATTTGTTCAAACATTTTCAATTGTCTCGTATTTAAAATAAGAATTTCAGACTAGCACTCTGTGATCCTGTGAGGCAGTCAATATTTAAAACACCCAATGGCATATGTGCCCCACCCCAAACCCTATGGACTTGTTCAGATTCACAGTGACCCTGTTAAAGACAGAGTAGGATTCCCTCATAGGTTTGCAAGGTCGTAAATCTTAGGAGCAAGGCTCAAACTGCTGACATCTCAGCCAGCAGCCTCGTGCTCCACCACCATGGTAAATTGCGTAGCTCTGTGTGGGAAGGTATTAAGCGTTGATTGAATGAACAGGTGAAGTAGTATGAAACAAATCTAAACCAATTTGTATATGTTCGCTCCCCATGTTAGACTTTTCAGGTAAATTCAGATTATTGTGTCTTTGTGGTGTACATACGGTTTTTTTCTCTGTGAGTGGGTGAGTCTGTGTGATGTGTGTGTGTGTGTGTGTGTTGTGCTCAGTTCAACCCTGTCCAGTAATATGTGGAAACATCAGTAATTTCAGTGGTTTGCTTACAACTTTCTGCATCAAGGCTGCTTTGCCTCATTTTTTGAACTCTAGTCAGTTTTTGAAGTGTTGCCCGTAGCTTATTTACGCTAGGCCACTCAGGATTCCATCTGTGAATTATGCCAGTTCTCCTCTTTGTTTTTCAGTGTTTTCTTTTGTCTGTGCCAGGAATTCTGTTTGGATGGCCCGTGCACACAACTTGCCTAGGGGTCTAATTGATAGCCCTTTCCTTCCAGTCCACTTGCATTGTCTATTTGGATCTATGGCCC